GGCGGGCAAGGCGGCCGCCCCGGGCACCGCGGTGCTGCTGGTCACGGCCAACGTGGGCTCGCTCTTCGACGACGTAAGTGCTGTGGCGGCGGCGGCCAGACCAAGACCCCGACCCTGAGCCCAGCGCCCTGGGGCCCCGGGGGCCCACATCCTGGTCCCCGTCCGCGAGCGCGGAGCCCCAGGTTCTGGACTGACACCCTGAGTCGCGCACGTCGGGACCTGGACCGGGACTCTGGGTCCTCCAAACCCTGGTACCCCTAAACCGGAGGGCCATGGACCCCAGACCCCGGCCCCCTGAGCGCTGCCCCAAACCCTGGAATCGGGGTCCCCCACCTCCTGCCTCCAAACTGCGCAGGCTGAACCCCGACCTCAGAGCCGGGACCCGGGACCCTGGTTCCTAAACTCCCAATTCTAATCCCTGTCCAAGGTCCCCGAATCCTGACCTGAGGACCCTTGTCCACGGGCCCCAACTCTGGTCCCTGACTCTTGACCGCACAACCCTGACCTTGGTTCCCAAACCCCAGCCCCTGACTTCTGTCGCCGCGCCCCCCCCCCCCCCCCCCCCCCCACGGCACTGGCCCCTGGCCACGGGCGGGGTGTGCAGGCTTCCCCTGCCGGCCTCCTCCGGGTGGGTGGCTCACTCCTCCGGGGGCAGGCGCCCTCATTTCACCTTGTAACTTAGTATCCGTCTAGTTCTCAGACAAGGGCCTCTGTGGGCAGCCCCCGAGGACTCTGTTTCTCGTTTATTAAAGAGAAAGATGCCGAGAAGCTTTCCAAGGCCAAAGAAGGGATGGGACTGCCCAGGGCCTTTCCCTCCGGGGGCCTCCCACCCAGGCACCCAGGGCGGCCCTTGGGAGAGAGCAGGCAGCGGGGGACGGGGGCGCCCAGAGCGCCCGGGGCGGGAGGCAGGCCCCGGCTGACCTAGTTGGGTGTCTCAGCCGCGGTGCCAGCCCGCTGTTGGTACTTACACCGCCAACCCAAATAAAGCAGAATGCGGCTCCAAGTGGCGTGCTTGTTTAAGAGAAAAGGGTGATGGCACAGACGGAGCCTGAGGCGGCCTCGCGAGGTGAGCGGTGGGTGTGGGCCGGTCCACCGACACAAGCATGACTTCGATTCCGGAGAGGGTTCTGGCCTCTGGCGGAACCTTCCGTCGCCAGCAGTGGGCAGGGGCGAAGTGCTTCAGTAAGCTGAGGTCACGGACGGGCTAGGTTTGATTTTATTCACAAAGAGTAGGCGCTATTTTTGTGTTTTTCTTATTTTAACTTCCAGGCGTCCGTGTATTCTCCTTCCCTGCTGGGGGTGAGCCGTTTCCCTCGGACAACTTCATCTAGTTTCGCGTTTGATCGTTTCTACAAAAGTGCCCTGTATGGGTGTGTGTCTGTATATTTAGCATTCTATTCTCGGCTTTCCAGTAACATGCCACTATAACATGGTTTTGCTCAGATGATTCAGATCCATTAGCTGAGGCTTCAAAGCCTCAGAAATGTCAGGAAAATTAAGCATGGTGGGGCATTTTAGTCTCAAAGGGAAAAAGAATTTTGCTGTGCAAACATTCTTTCCAGTAATCTTTGATTCTGAGTTCTGGCATTTTTGTTGTGTTTCAGCTGTATACGCGCACTTCTCTCTGTTGACATGAAAATGGGTAACTTCATTTACTTTTGTGTGGCGACATGTTCTCTCCGGGTTTTTGTTTGTCACGAAGGCTGTATGGAGCTGTGCATTATCTTGGCATCTGGAAGGAATGCTTGTTTTGGTAAACAGTATGCTGGTTAATTTTGCAGGGTGTCTTTGGTTTGTGGGCTCATAGACAAGTCTCTGCCCATAACCCATAGGTTCTCGGGGTGCGGAGGGCAGCCTGGAGGGGCAGCACGGACAGCAGTCTCACCCTGCTCTGGGGCGCCCGCTGGGGCTGGGGTGCGGGGCAGTGGTGCCTGTGGGAGACACCTGGCTGGTGAGAGCAGTGATTCTTGAGTGACGGGGGCGTTAATTCCTTGGTTTATAGTAGGTTTCAGAAGACCTGCCTGGTGAATCTGTCTGCACAACACGTGTCCACACTGAGCAACACGCTCTTCAGAAGGTGGCAAGGCCTGGGAAGGAATGCTTTCTTGCCTGGCTTCATCGTCCCGGGGAGGGAGGGCGTCCGAGTTAGAAACGGGCATGGCGTGCTGTGAAGGACGCGTCTGCGGTAGGTGGTGTGTTTGTGCGTTTGCAGTCTTGCGATCTTCCCTTGCACCTCCTCCCAGTGTGGGGGGGACGCACCGAGACTTGTCTGGCAGCTGCTCTGCTCTCTTCAGCACCCCTGGCTCCTGACCCCCGCCACGGCTGGCGGACCAGGTTCCTCCTCCCCCACGCGCGGTTACCCACGAGGGGTGCCGTCGTTCTCAAATGTTACCCTCACGTCCTTCAGAAACAGGGGGACTCCAGAGAGTTCTTGGCTATGTGAGGTTGGCACGACCAGTATTTGCCGCATTGGGAGGTAGGAACTGAGAAAAGCAGAGAGCGAGCTGGTGGCTTGGGTGTCAGGTGGTGACGTTGTCACGCGTCCTCCCCTCCTCAGAAAGCTCCGCTGTTCACTCAGGAGACTGTGCCCGGGACAGGAGATGGGAGTCTTGTGTTACTGTGAACACAGCTGTGACCCAGCAGACCCCTGGCCAGGTCTCCTGGCCGTTACTCCGAGGGCCTCTGTCCAAGCTGGTGGCTCTTCCTGAACCTGCACAAGCATCTCCCTGGATGGGGGGCCTAGACGTGGCTGGGAGTGCCGCGACTTTTCTGGGTTCACAGCAGCTGCCTGATTGCCCCACTAGAGCCCTGCGGCTCTTCTGTAACCCCCAGCTGGACTCGTGGTGGCACTACCCGGTTTCCTGGAAAGGGGTGGCCCGGGCTGCTCACCGAACTGTGCTCGAGATGGCTAGATTTTTGACAAGGGAGGTTTCCAGCTTTTGGCTCTTTATGTTGTTGCTAGAAGTGAAGTCAGAAGGTGAATTCCTGCAGCCACGGTTTTGGAGCCGGGTCCCACCCTTACAAGGCAAGGCTGTTCTTGGGAAAGGCCGTCAGCCGAGCGGCAGGCTTCGAGAGCACAGCCCTTGGGCGTCTGCCGGGGGGCCTGCGTCCTGCGGTGCCTCTGAGCTCCCTGTCCGTTTTGAGCTGGTTTCCCTTTTTGCTTGGTCAACGGCTGAGCAGCCCTGTACCCAGGCTTGCAGAGTGGTTGTGCAACGAGCTCTGTAGAGGTGCTGTGCTGTGCCCTCCAAGGCCTCTCTGGCGGTGGGTGTCTGTGAGCCCCTGCCCCGGCCCGGTGGGGGTGCCGGCTGCCTTGGGCACCCGCCCCCCCCCCCCCCCCAGCCCGGTGGGGGAATCGGCTGCCTTGGGCACCTGCGCCCCCAGTCCTGTGCCATCAGGTT